ACACGCACACACACACACACACACACAATGGAGTATTACTGGGCAATCAAAAAGAATGAAATCTTGCCATTTGCAACTACGTGGATGGAACTGAAGGGTATTATGCTAAGTGAAATTAGTCAGTCAGAGAAACACAAATATCATATGACTTCACCCATAGGAGAACTTTAAGAGATAAAACAGATGAACATAAGGGAAGGGAAACAAAAGGGGGACAAAACATAAGAGACTCGTAAATATGGGGAACAAACAGAAGGTTACTGGAGGGGGTGTGGGAGGGGGGATGGGCTAAATGGGTAAGGGGCACTAAGGAATCTACTCCTGAAATAATTGTTGCACTATATGCTAAATAATTTGGATGTAAATTTTAGAAAATAAACTTAAAAAATAAATAAATATCTCTAGATATTGTCTGATGTCCCTAGAAGGGGCAAAATCACCCCCAGTTGAGAACCGCTGGTTTAGAGAATGAGTAGATGACCATCCAGCCCAACTTCGTACCATATAGATGAGGGAAGCAGAGCCCAAGCACACTGAACACCTTGCTCAAATGTACACAGCTGGTTAATGGCAGATCTCAGCCAGGACCTCCAGATTATCACTTTCAATACCTCCACTATACCCCAACTTTAGTCATTTGCATGCCACTGTGATTTCACCATACCCATTGCCACCTATATTATAATTTCCTAAATTTGAGTTGGCTTGTTTTTTAACTTAACACATTTATTTTAAAAGGAAATAGGCATGTGAGGGGGAAAAAAAAACAAACATTAAAGTTAAGAAAGATCATGGTGTCAGAGGGAAAGATCTGTGCTCAGTTATTTTACACATTTGTTTCTTTATCAAGCACCCACATCGTGCCTACCCTGTGCCTGGCGCCATTTTAAGTGCTTTCCATGTATGAAATCTTTTTGTCTTAATAACAACCTTATTAGGTAAGTATGATTATCCTTATTTTATAAATGAGGATGCTGATCTAGGTCCCAGATCACCCAACTCATAAGTGGCAGAAGTGGCATTCCAGTCCAGGAAGTCTAGCTCAGAATTCCATGTTCTTAATCAGTAAGAGGAAAAGTTGGAAACATCTGATGAGAAAGGAGAGATGGGTTTGGGACTGAAAACAACAGTAGCCAGGAAATAATGGGGAGAGGTACAAAGGCAGGGGACCCAAGGAGCTAGACAAACCCTTGGGAGAGGGGAACTCGCACCTGGAAAAGTGGGCAGGAATGGTGGTGGGAAGGGGCAAAAGCTGTGGGGAGAGGGCATCAGAGCAGGGGCAAGATGAGACTTCAAATAAGTAGAGTAGCAGGCACTGAGAGAAACAAGCTGTTTGGCAGGGTGGGAAAATGGGGAGGCTGGAAGTGGAAATTCAGGCAGAATGTTAATCTGGAGAAAAGGTGAAAGGAAGGGTGGGCTGGGGATCCAGGTCCAGGAGAGGACCCTGGGAGGAGTAAGAGGAAAGATGTAAGGAGGCTGTCAAGGTGAGAACCTAGAAATGGGAGGGATGGCTGGGGTCTAGGTGGGGCTTGGAAGGGGTCCCAGCCGGGCAAGCTGAGGCACCGTAGTGGGGAGCAGAGAAAGCACACTCCCACACCAGGCAAAGCCGACACTGGTAAACGCCAGCCACTGAAGTTAATGTTTTACCCTTAAAAATCAAGTTGAGAATCACTAGGGGTGTACACACCACATTTTGCAAAATGTTGAACCGATTCATCTCCAAAAAATATAAAAAGCTTTTGGGTAACATTTGAGGAATTTTTGAGACTTTTATGTTCCCACGACTAGTTCATAAATAAAATATACAACTTAAAAAGCGCACACACTCTTGTAATTGCTGAATGAAAATACCAAGCACAGAACTGCTTTATCACATGTTTTGCCAGTTCTTCATGCTTCTTCAACACTTGACTTTTCAAAAACAAATTTTCTGGAAAATGTTTTGTCTTTTACACTTTCTAGTTTTTGCTGGATCAAGATATTAATAAAAATAAACAACTTGGGGGAAATTTGGTGAGTGTTGGCATATTTGTAAATATCAGGATCTCTAAAGAAAGACAGTTTCATGGTTTGCCCTTAGTTGCCTTAGGGCAGCGCAAGAGCTCTTATGCAGAAATCCATTTATGGGAAGCTAAGATGGGTAGTACCCAAGTTCAACCAGAATATTGAGGTACCAAAAGCAACGCTGATGCAAATATATTTAAGGGAATATATAAATGATAAAAAATGTAAAGTGAGACATAGTAACTAAGGGGAAGCACTTTAGGGTCAGACAGGTCTAAACCACTAGCATTACAGTATCATGTAGTAGTATTTATTGGTGTTAAATACTAGCATTATGAAGTTAGTGTGAGGATTAAATCAGATGTCATATAAAGGATGTAAGGAATGTAATGCTAAATATATTTGGGATACTATTCTAGTATGAAGCAGAATAAACTAAATAATAAGCTTCTTAGAAGCCTGAGAGTTTTCATAACTTTGCTTTGAGGAGTTTTGATTCCTGGCACTAATTTCCATGTAGGCAGGTGCTTGTTCATTCTTCTAGGTCAAGGCTGACCTAAGGGATTTTGAATAGCTCTAAATCAACAGCTCTCAGAGTGTGATTCACTAACTCCAGAAAGTCCCAAAGACCCTTTCAGGGAATCTGTGTAATAAATTTTCATATTTTTATGATTTCAAAATTTCCTGTTTTCATAATAATTGCAATGATAGTATGTCTAACTTTGTTGATAATAGCAAAATTAATTTCTTAATAATACTAATTGTCTAATAACTATTTTTGTTTCTCACTATGACATTTGCACTGCTGGTGCAAAAGCATTGGTGGGGAACACTATTGATACCTTAGCATGAATCAACACAGTGGTACCAAAGTTTACTGTTATCAGGGTGCCTGGCTGGCTCAGTTGGTAGAGCATGCGACTCTTGATCTCAGGGTCATGAGTTCAAGCCCTATGTTGGGCATGAAGCCTAGTTAAAAAAAAAAAAAAGTTTACTGTTATTCTTCACTACCATGTGCTCACAGGAAAACAAAAACACAAACAAACAAAAAAACACACACCTAGTTTCACTTAGGAACGTTCCTGATGGTGCAGTACTTTTATTAAATCCTGACCCTTGAGTATAAACTCTTTTTAGTATATGTGCTACCGAAGTAAGCATGTACACATTTTTTAAAATATTCCATGTCATGAAATGGGAAGTACCCATAAAGCACTCTGCTGCATACCTAAGTACAATGGTTGTCTTGAGATAAAGCACTTGTACTACCAGTTGAGTTATGAGCTGAACTAGCCATATTTGTCGTGAAACACGTTTTTCACTTAAATGGATGACTGACAAACTGTGGTATTTAGGTGTGCATGTCTGGCAAATGTTTTCTCAAAAATTCATGAAACAAGTCTGTTACTTTAAGGAAAATAATTGATAATACTGTTAGCAATGATGAGATTGGAACTTTTAAGTGGAAATTAGAATTTTGAAAACCTCATATCCACCTCTGTGAGCTTGATAGTTTGTTGATGCTTAAAGACTTTTCTGATGAGATCAGTGATTATATTAATGACTGTGATTTTTAAAATATAGTATAATGACATATTACAATATTTGGAAGATCTGTATAACTCAGTGAACCGATATTTTCCAAATGACCAATATATGCTATTATAGAATCAATCATACATGGGTATAATATACATTCAAAATGAAAGATAGATCAATGCATTTCCTTGATATGGTTTTAGATTCCACATTGCAACTAACCTTTAAGAAGCTATTACTTGTTGGGGCACCTGGGTGGCTCGGTCAGTTAAACCTCTGACTTTGGCTCAGGCCATGATCTCACAGCTCCAGCATCAGGCTCTGTTCTGACAGACAGATTCTGTGTCTCCTTCTCTCTCTGTCCCTCCCTGGCTTGTGCTCTATCTCTCTCTTTCAAAAATAAATAATAAACATTAAAAAATAAAGAAAAAGAAAATTATAATTATTGACATACATTAAAAAAATAAGCTATCACTTGTTGAGTTTTGGTGTAATATTAAAGAAAAATATCCCAGTGATCTATAAGAGCTATTAAAGTATTCCTTCTTTTCCCAACTATATCTTTGTGGAACCAGATTTTTTTCACATATTTCAATCTAAACAAAATGTCACTACATTGAAAGGAGAAGCAGACATAAAAATCCAGCTTTCTATTATTAAGTCAAACATTAAAGATATTAGTAAAAAAGAGAAATAATGCCATTATTCTCATTTTTTAAATTTGGGAATATATATCTATTTTTCATAAAATACATTATATTAACATGTAACAAATTTATTCTACATATTTTTAAATTTTTGAAAAACTTTTATTTTAGAGAGAGAGAGAGAGAACATGAGCAGGAGAGAAGGGCAGAGGGAGAGAGAGAGAATCTTAAGCAGACTTCCTGCTCCACATAGAGCTTTACACAGGGCTCAATCCCACAGACCTAGGATCATGATCTGAGCCAAAATCAAGAGTCAGATGCTCAACCAATTAAGCCACCCAAACACCTAAGTATTTTTTAATGAATTAATATTTTTAAATTTTCTCATTTTAATTTTTACTATGTAAGTAAATATATATCAAAACCTATATAAAGCTTTTTGAGATCTTCAATAATTTTTAAGAGTGTAAAGAGGTCGTGAGACCAAAAACTGTAGGAACCACTATTCTAAATAGTTCTCCAAACTTGAGCTGGTCTCCTTTGACTGTTTATTGAAAGACAGTGCTTAGGACAAAACTACAATAGAAAATCATCATCTTCTAGTTCATTTAGAACATCGTTTAGGAGAATCTTCAGGAGCTAGAGTTAGTTATAATTTGTCCTCACAGTAACAGGTAAGTCTAAAAGAGTAGGGCCACTGAGTTCAAGAAAGGCAAGTCAGAGACCTTTCAGGAAAGATAGGCTGCCAACTCTGCATCAAGGAAAAATAAAGAGTTGACCTCACCTCCCTTTTTTTGTACACCTATATTAAAGTTATATGCTTCATTAAAAGCATTCAAAAGATTTTCCCCCCTCTGAAACTCCTTTTGATTAGGAATCCTGTTTGCTCTTGATATGTGTGTCTCTATAAATAAATTAGGGAGAAACTTGTCCTTTTGTAATAAAAAAGATAAAAGAGTTGCAGTTGGGTCTCACCAGGGGCCCACAATTTCTGCTCAAGAGGGTATAATAAAAAGTGTTACAACTGGGATGCCTGGGCGGCTCAGTAGGCTGAGCATCCGACTCTTGATTTCAGTTCAAGTCATGATGCCATGGTTGGTGGAGTCGATGACATGCATCGGGTCTACACTGGCAGTGGGGGAGCCTGCTTGGGATTCTCCCTCTGCCTTTCTCTCAAAATAAATAAATAAACTTAAAAAAAAAAAAAGTATTAGAAGAGTCCACTGCTGCTGGACTGGTACCATGATCAACTTCCTAAATTTAGCTCTAAGATCAATGTGGGAATCCCTCAGTTGTCTGCCTCCTTTTCAATCAACAAGCAAACAAAGCCAGACTTGAGGTTCAGTCTGAGAGTAGAAAGTCATGTATATACCTGAATATTGATGAGCTCTGAAGTTAATAAAGAATAAAAACCAGGAGAATCCATTTGACCCATTTCAGCCTCTTGGTGTCCTGAAATTTCCGTCTCACTGTGATGAAAAGAATCAAGGTATGATCTAACTCAAAAGAGGGTTGTTATTCAAGAGTAAAGGAAATAAATAGGGAGCTAGTCTAGCTTCAGATGGGGTTTTTTTTCTGAAAATAGACAAGAGCATCACCAGTGAGGTCAAAGCAAGAACTGCTTGGAGTCTCCCAGTAGGCTCCTCAATTATTGTTTTGATCATTGCAGGAAGCTTCCTGTTACCATTTTCTATATCCACCCAGGCCATCTTGGTCAAAAACTACTATTTATCTTCCTCGAGACTTCTCATGCGTGAGGAAAGTAAAGAATAATGATCTACGTGAACCCTGGAGTCAGCCTGCCAGGATGTGATCTATTGTAATGATCTAGGCAGAGAACACCTCTCGAGGTCTCAATTTCCTCCCCGTAAAATCGAAAGAGTGACAGCACTTTATAAGGTTCTTGTTAGGACTAATCGAAGATAATGCATACAAAGCATTTAGCACAAGACGCGGAACATACTAAGTACCTAATAAACAAAAGTCATTATCACGGCGATTCTTTGCTTCATATTCCCATCTGTGAGCAGTTTTTTTCCCGTTATTTCTCAACATAACTCTTTCTTTCGGGGCTGTTGATCTCGGAGGCCTCTGGTCCTTCATATCCCTGAGTCATCATCATTAAAATGCCGGATTTCTGAAGTCATTCCTCCCCCTCCTGCTCGCTAGGGCTCCCTCTCCTGACTGCTTAGCTTTGGTGAGGGCCCAGACCTAAATTCCGTGACCACGAGTCTCTGTCGGGACTCGGCCTTGGAAGACCATCCCCAGTCCTCTTGGAGACCACCTGAGGTTCGACAAAACTGATCCCCACCAGACTCTGAGAAACGCTCCAGCCCAAGAGTGGCGCGAGCCCGGAGGCGGGGCCTCGCACGGAGGTGAGAACGAGGCCAGGGGCGGGGCTGTGCTCCGAGGTGAGCGCGAGGCCACACCCCGAGGTGAGCGTGCTGGGGGCGGGGCCACATCCGATGTGGGCGCGAGGCCGGGGGCGTGGCCGCACCGGGGAGCCGCCCGAACCGTTAGGGATGCACCAGCCGCCTCCCCAGGCGGCGCGCGCAGCCGCCCCCGGGCTTGAGGCAGCGCAGGAGTTAAGGTCGCCGGCGCCACCTGGGCGCCGCTGAGGAGACCCGCGAGCCGGCGAATCCCGCGCGGGCGCGGCGAACAGGTGCCCGCGCGCGTCAGGCGCCGGCAAGGGGCGGGGAGAGGGGGCGCGGCCGGAAGCCCGGGGCGGGGTGCGGCCGGCCCGGTGAACCGGAGGAGCCGAGGGAGGCAGGAAGGAGTTCGCCCGGCTGCGCCGCGCGCGATGTGGAGCCGCCGCCTCGGCGCCTGCAGCAGCCGCCGCCGCCGCCGCTGCTGCTGGGGCTGCCGCCGAGCCGAGGGACATGGAGCGCGGCTGCAGAGAGCGGCCGCCGGCAGCAGCAGCAGCGAGCGTCGCAGCGACAGCGGAGCGCAGCCCGCCCGGTGAGGCGCTGCCCGGCCGGCGGCGGCAGCGGCAGCAGCAGCAGCAGCAGCAGCAACAGGGCGGCTGAAAACTCGGCGGCAGCGTTCCTCGCAACCTCCCCTCTCGCTTCGCCGCCCCCCGGTCTTCCCTTCCTCAGCCTTTCCCTTTGCCACCCCCTCCT